TTGGGGCAATAAACCTTGACTAAGTTCTTATCTAGTTCAGTAATAAATATACCGTGTACTTTGATTATTAAATTTTAAAGCAGTCTTTTGTGCTTGAGTGTACAGTTCCATAGTATGCAATAGTATTCTTTTTTGTTTACTATTTTAAATGTAATATGATAATCTCAAGATACTAAAACTGAATTCTTGTTTATTTAATGTATATAACCATACATACATGCACACACACAAACCACCTTTTATGTGTACTATTTTCAGTCTATCAGAGAAAAAAATTCTGGTTGCTTCATTAAAAAAAAAGTACAGAAGCTGCACACATGCTTATATGTACTTGTTGAGGGCAAACACAGATTATTCACTATTTCTGTTATCAAAGGAGCTTCACATTGCAAATCCTCCATTTACAAATCACAGAACCTCAGCTTTACTTAATCTTGTCATGTTGTCACATTTGACTAGCCATGCGAACTGACCTAGAACTGTAAGCACCGGGAAGGCAAGCTGTCAAAGAGATAATGACAAAGATGCCAAAAAGGGCTGCCAGTGTTTTCACTGGGTGAGAAAAAGGAATTAATCAAACTTCATGAAAGAAGAACAGAGGATAATCAAAGTGCTTCCTGATTTTTATCAACTGATCCAATAGCTGAACATCTTTACCACACAACTACCAAGAGTAGTAAAAGCTGTAACAAATGGAATTCCATATAAGCAACTATTTACAGCAGCAGTAAAAGCAAGTTTAAACTGCCAACATAAAGGACACTTGAATTTATAGAAGAAGTTTAATAATGTGCATTAGTACAACATTTCCTAGTCTTTACAGAGCAAAAAATTCAGTATCTGCTGTTTTTCACAGGGAGAAGCAGTACAGCCTTAAATAAATGCTAGCACAGAAACCTTACAGATGCTCCTTCATTTTTTATCTGATTAGTGGAAGAGCATAACATAATAACAAAAGCATCTCACAGAAAATGGTTATTTTCCCAGTCAAATTGCTTCATGAAATGAAGTCAAACCCATAGGCAGCAATACTAAAAGGGAAGAACCTTTCACAACAACGTGTCTTTACACAGTAATTCAAAAAGGCTGAAGAAAATATCTCTGAAACTGCATTTTTCCAAAGCAGTTTGGATTATATGTACTTTTCAGAAATTCCTGCGAAAGAGTATAATCTGATCAATATCTCCTACCAGACACGTGAATAAGTCAATGAGATGTATGCAAGCATGTATAGCAAAATTTTGACCAGCTACGATTATTTATGTGCTGTAGCAGAGGTACGCCACAACAGGCACCTCAACCATTCTAAGCACTTTGTCAAATATTGATTTGCTTTTAAATAAGTATCTTTATATTTGCTATTTTTTCATGAATTAAATTTGTGGTAATGTTAACGTTGACAGGTTAATGATTGTATACAGGAAAATTGCAATGACTTGAGCAACTGCATTGGTTAAAAATTGCCAATATTCTGTTCAAACTATTTCAATAGTACAAACTCCAATGATTGCTTCTTTAAGCTGCCTGCTTTTATGAAACATTTTTACTAGAGTTATAAAATTAAACCTTTCAGAATGTTTAATCTGTTTTGGAGACTGTATCTTTCTCCAAATGGAGGTCAATAACTTAATCTAAGACTGTCAACTTCTAAAGCTTTATAATGCATTTCTTTTGCACACACACACAATCCCGCCTCCTGGGGATGATTCTGCTCAAATATGTAAATAAATACAGTCACGATTGGACAGATGTTATATCCACTTCCACCATGCTTCATTCCAAAGTTAGGTTTATATACACACTTGCCTGCCTCTCTGTTATTTCAAAATCATAAACTGCATACACATTTGGAAGAAAAATAATACCAGGCATGCAACTGCACTGGATTTTTTGGTTTGCAGCTGGAAGTTGGATAACAGTTAAAAGTTGGAGGAAGGAAGAAAGAAAGAGCGATCTAAATATAGAATAATGATCCTGTCCCCTATTTACACAAAAAGCATAAAATGTAATATGCAGGTGCATCCTAGAAAGCACTTGGAAAAGACACTACAAAATATTTTTTTCTTTGCAAACTATGAATTTTGATCTTACAAAACCTAAAAGAAAAGAAAATATATTGAGCACTGATTTGAAAAATTCATTAAAAATGCTAAAGATTCAAAATGAACAATGTTCTGTAACCAACATGTAAATAAACCATGGGTTTATTCTGGGTCTTATTCTGATTTATTAGGAGCCTGATAGGACAAGATGCCCATCGCCCCCATCAGCCAGGAACCTCACGATTAATTCTCCCCTAAGGTACCCATTGTCAGAGATTTGCTAGAGGAAGGTCTTCAGAAATCCTTATTATCAAACTGATAGGAGGTTTCCAATAGTTTCCCTACCTCTGTTCTAGTTCAGGTCTGTTTGCAGACTATTTAATCATGCCTGCCAGAGACAATGTATCCCAGAAGCACAGAACTTCTCTTCTGAAGAGTAATTATTTTGAGCCTCAGAATGCACTGGATGCAGTCAAGAGTGAAGTATTTTAAAATTTCCCATGGAAGGATCCCTCTGTCAGATACTTGAATAGGTTTTCTTTATATAATGTGCATGCATGCAAGAACACATACACATACCTAAATAGAAATGTGTATATGGACATACTATCTGTTCATTAACACATTTATTTATTCAAGATCACTTTATTCCCAAATCAGAAAAGATGTCATGTGGCTGAGGGCTATCTTCTGGCAGGAATGATAAAGTATTAGGGAGACAAAAGTGAATATTACCAGCAGAATCACCCAAGACCTCCCATTTCCATTTGATGATAAAGTTCAGCCAAAAAGTTTACTTGTTATGTTATTATTTGAAATCCACAAACACACACATTCTTTACAAGGAAACAATACAAACATACATATACTCACATTTCAAACATTAAGCATTTTATCAGTATCTTCACTTTATACCAATTTTACCAACACAGTTGAATTACTGTAATGGAGTTTAGGAGCACTAAAATTGTACTGTAGGTGTTTTGCATGCATCTGAAAAACCACAGGAAGGTTAGCTTCGGTTCCCAAAGTTTATGTATCTCTATATATGCTCCATGTATTAAAACACAAAACATCAGATAATAAATTAGTTGAAAGTCAACTTACAGATTTGAAAGACCAAATGCAACTTTGGCAATTTGTACCACAGGAATATGGGCCAGAGAATTATTTTTTTGTAAAGCCAAAAGTCCTTTAAATTCTATGACTAAAATTTAGGTATATAAGAAACAGAAGATACAGGCTTTCATGAGCTATCTCCTTCAGATCATATTACAAAAAAGGCACCTACAGTCACCTATGACGGGTATGTTTATCATATGGTCCAAAACATACCTAAAAAAAATACCTTATTGTTGAATCAATTCAACAGAGGTAATCAACTGGTAAACTGAAAAGTTTTAATAAATCTATTTCCTTCTGTGTAAAGTTCACTGAATTTACCAATAAACAAGAGCACTATATTTTTGACTGGAATTCCAAAGTAGTGATATACTGAACGTGTATAATATAGTCCTGGACACTTAAATTGTGCCTGAAGTGAGGGGAAAAAAATGTCTTTATTAGAGAAATAATTATTGCTTAGAAGGGTTCACTCTGCAAAACAGGAATTTGTTTTCAGGACAAGAAAAATATTAAAGACCACATGTCTATCTCAAGAATTCAAATTTAAAAATTTGCTAATGTAATTATATTTATTCTTACTTAGCCAGGCCTAGATTTATAAATTAGTAGCCTCCCTAATACAGCTCACTCTAATCTGGAGCTGAGCAGGAAGCACAAGTGAAATAATGAAAAACAAAATCCAAGTCTAGTGAGATCAAGAAAGTATCAGATATTAACTTCTCAAAATGTATTCTCTTAATGATTTAGAACTTTGAAAAAATCTATGTTAGATCAGGCTTTGTTACAGAAGAACTTTTCAGATTACCACCAAAAATGCTATGGCTAGCATACAGCTTATTACAATTTTAGCATATTTTGGCTTTAGCTATGATCCTTTTTTTCATAAATAACTGTATTTATTTGTTTCTATGTAGGTCACTATGGCATAAACAGAAAATGCTTAACCTTTCATTTATTTCTGCTAATGTAAAACTCTATAAATAAACACTTCTTAATACCAACATGTTGTGTCACACTATATATCCTTTCATCCTGCAATACAAGCAGCTTCTATAACTTAGTAGATTTTTTGCATAACATTATTGGCAGTCCCAGCACTGTTACTAATTATTTTGGGTTTTGATTTCTTATGTAGTGACATAACACCATCCTTACCTGAATTAAGACTAAGATTGTTCAAACTCTATTGCTTAAAAGAGAAAATCCCTTGACATATTCAATATATTTATAAATTACCGTTACCTTTTAAAAACATTGTTCATTCTTCTGCACCCATGGCTTACAACATGATAGTATATTAGCAAAGCAGCTAAGACTTTTTACTTACTAGAGAGCGATCCTCTGAAGACACAGACCCTCTCTCCCACTATCTTATCCATAGGATAGACTTTGTGAGTGCTTTAGGGTCTGCAATACCCTTGTGGGCAATATTTGCCCCCAAAGAGTTGAAAAGAAAATTGTTAGATCTATAGCACTTACAATGTCCTACATACATCTAAGCCTTTACTCTTTTCATTAGTTCTGTTTGTTTTGGCTTTTTTAAAGTCACAATCTTGATTGTACTGCACAGTAAGTATTTATTAGAAGGTTTAACATATCCTTACTTTTCTAGGCCATATGATATTTAAACTGGAAATAAAACACCAAAGTCAGCAAAATAACCTAATGTCTTTTGTATGGCAGAACCTATAGGCTCAAGCTATAAATTAATTAAACTGTTCCAGAGATTTATACTATGGACTTTCCTATGCTTTCTCTTACGATTAAATGCAGCATGTGAAAAAGGATATTGAGACCTGGATGGATGCATCAAGAAGTATCAATGATTGTTACCTGCAGAGGTGTTACAAGAAATTTCATCTGCTGCAACGAAGACGAATTGATTTCTGCAAGAGAAGATAAAATTCACAATACTGCTTGCTGACTGGGAAATGTGCTAGCTGCCAATTGACTTGATGTTTACAGATGGGGTAGGGTAAGGGTGCTTAATTTTAATGAATGTAGCAAGAAAAAGTGTTGACGTATTTCAGTACTGTAGAGTTTATAAGGATCATGAGGTAGACATGCTGGGATCTTTTAAATGAAATAATGGTGACATTTGGATATGGACTATGTACAAACTCTTGCATTGGAAGCTTCATGTTTAGTGTTACAGATATGTCAATATATTTATGAAGTCTAATAAAAATAAAACAATATTTATATTGATATAGATATAAAGGGCACTACTACAAAATATGTAAAAAGCATTTTTGAAAAAAAATAATTGCAATTTACTTTGTGTACCGGAAAGGAGGATATTGGAAGTAAAATATTTTGCTTTTTATAAGTCTAATATGATTGCAATCAGAAAATGAATTTTCTGCTATTTATTAAAAAAATGACATAGTATATTCTCATATACTGTCATCCAAATACATACAAAAGTCTTTGCAGAATCTTAGGAGAATGAACTAGAGATATGAGTAATTTAATATAAACCTTCTCTTGCAAAATTCTTTTTTAAACCAGGTAACATAAAAAGAGAAATGCTAAATATACTAATATTTCAAAATGCAGAAAACTTCACTACAGCACAAATCCTGATTTGTCCTTTCCAAAATCAAAGCAGACAGGATTTGCGTTAGGGGAAACCATGTTTAAGGATTAACAGCAAATGATTCCTTTATATACATATACATAGCTTCCTTGACTTATTTTTGTGTTGTGCAGGATTAATAAAGAACCTGGGTGAAGTTTTAACACTGGGGTACTGGTTTACTCGAAATTGCATGTAGCTCCTCCAGCCTGCACTGCTAGGTATGGTGAAAAACTGAGTTTTTCTGTTTTGCAGAGCTTTAATGCAAGAGTCTACTGAATAGGAGCTAGAAGGAACTAGTTCTAGCTGGTACTGAGAACTACCTGGAAAACTTAGTTCTGCAAGATGATGACAGCTCTGTCAAGCGT